TGTCCAGTCAGTTTTGAAGTGACTGACGCAATGGGGCTGCTACCGCTTCCTCTGGCAAACACTTCAGCAGTAAAACAAATTTCAACATCAGAAAATATTTCCCAATAGTATGTCTACATTTTCCTTCGCTTAACATCACTTCATTATTTTTATTTGCACTCCTATATACCACCCAATACAGTTTTGACACATCATAATATTTTAGGGAAGCAGAACTTTACCAAGCTGCTCCAAAGAAGGTAAAAATTATTTCAAAGACCACAGTTTAGTACAGTTATGGAAACAAAAATTCAGTATCTAACACATTTTATCATCATCAAGTGACTATTATCATTCACTAGTCCAACATCACCTACAGATACTCTCTACTAGAAGACTGAAAAACAAATATGCCAGTGCACAATTAAAAAGAAAGAAAAACATTTAGAAAAACAGACTATTGAAAACAGAGTATTTCAGATTCACATATTCACTAAGTCCTTGAAAATTACATGTGTCTATAAATTATATAATATATATACATATAGTATTACAACGTTAGTAATTACCAAGCTGAAAATTATGCTCATCAAGAGAAAAATCAAGCAACACTGGTGACACAGATAACTTTACTTCACATCAGTCAATAATGATTACATTACTGATTTGTAACACTAAACAATGCTTTTTAAGGCTTACAATTTTAAAGACTAACTTCTGATGCACTACCATATGAAAACTTTTGTTATTTATCACAAATTAGATCTGCTTACCAAGTTCCTAGTCTATATGAAGCATGCTAATCATGTACAGAGTATGCTTCACATGTGCAAGAAACAAGCATGAACAAATATACCAAGATGGTGTACTCGGATGCAGCAGTATACTTCTCCCACACGGATGCAATATACTAAAAAATAAGTTGTAGTTAACTTCTCTTTTTCAGCTTCCTCAGACACATTTTCTTTGTTAATTAAAGTAACAAAAATTAGTATATACCATACTATTATTAACTAGTGTGAATTATAAATGTATTGAGAAAGATATTTGAGATTATTCATGTAAACTAAGATATCTAAAAATAAATATGAATTTTCTTAACAACAAGAAAGAATAAGAAGTAACTTGTCTTACAAGCTGCAAGAATTTACCACTGTGAATTCTTTAAGATGCTTTTAAAATGCTCATTCCGTTTGGAGTATACCCATCGTGTACCTAAACCTCACAGACTTTTCAGCCAGCAAATATTTATAAACTGTGTAGACATCATTTGCACATAAGGGCCCAAATTCAACTGAATCTATGATGTATTCAGAAGAAAAAAGGCAAATTATTTTGTAGAAATGCTACTTCTCGTTTCCGGTAGGAATTAGTGGTTTATACAGACTGGATGGAGAACAATGGCAGAGCACCGCACCGGACATTACTGGTTGAGATGGACATAGGTGACTGACTACTGGCGATCAACATCATGCTGTAGGTAGGTTTCACTAAAATTAATTAAAATAATCAAGCTTGTGTATACAGGCATGCATATACACCTAACAAAAGGCATATTGTTTTTCCAAGAGTATAAAACTTATTCTTAGGCACCTGTGCACTCACTGGGTGAAAAAAAATGCCGTAATAGATGGCTGCATGAATTAATAATCATTTTATAGCTTACAAAGTATAACAATGCATTTCAGAAGCTTTGGGGTTTTTTAAATAATGTGGTTAACACTTTTCAGTTAAGATAAAGCAAAAAATTCAGTATTCAAACAAAACCAATCACATCTTCATGAATACTTTTCTGGAATGTCTTCTTTTGTTATATATAAAATGACAAAAACACTGGTTTAAGAATAGCAATCTTCTAATTGTTCCTGATAAACAAATGGACTTTTCTCACAATGGTGATTAATAATATAATGAGGTAGGAGAAGTGAAGTAGGAAACTTGAAAGTAGTACTATGTACACTACTGTCAAAATTGGAAATTATGTTCCTTTTCCTTTATCCCCACACTTTTAAACAAAAATATGAAGACTAATTACACCTCTCAGTTTGACTGAAGGTAGCACATCTAACAAAAGAAATGCAGTACAGTTTAACCAAAAGCTCCCCTCTCTCCACACACACATTGCCATCGTCATCCCGTCCTGTCCCGCTCTGCCCCACAAC